AAGACGTTTTTGGGACTATAGTCAATGATTGTTGTTGTTAAGGACCGTCGAGTCGGTTCCGACCCATAGCAACCCTGTACAGGGTTTCTGAGGCTGTAAACCTTTACGGGAGCAGAAAGCCTCATCTTTCTCCCGCGGAGCGGCTGGTAGTTTCGAACCGCTGACCTTAAGGTTCACAGCCCGATTCGTAACCACTATGCTACCAGAGCTCCTTCAGTCAATGATTGTTGTTATTGTTGTTGTTAAGGACCGTCGAGTCGGTTCCGACCCATAGCGACCCTGTACAGGGTTTCCGAGGGTGTAAATCTTTACGGGAGTAGAAAGCCTCATCTTTCTCCCGCGGAGCGGCTGGTAGTTTCGAACCGCTGACCTTAAGGTTCGCAGCCCGATTCGTAACCACTACGCTACCAGAGATTAGCAACACACAATAGTGGTCCAATTCTCTAACAATCACTAGACAAAGTGGACACCTTCTTACATGTGCACAAATCTGCACTGAAAAGTACTACAGTTGGACTTAGACTTGTAGACTTTATATTTCCCCTTTCTAGTGTATTAATTGCTCAAGCAATGTTTGTATTCTGGCAGCAACATGCTACTCTATTGCATAGTACAGTGAATTCCAGAGTTACAAAGGCAGGAGTGTAAGTACCTTTTTCTTGGGAAGGGAAGTTGTCAACTTAAACAGCAGCAAGTGAAGAGTGAACAAGGAAACTCCCTTCTGTCACAGATACCAAGACCTCCACAGTATATTATGCCGGAGGCATTTCAACATGTGACTCCAAGCCAAAATGTAAAATGCTTTTCTATTCAATCAAGTATTTCTGGATCCCCGCACTCAAAAGGAATATATATTAAGAGCATGGAAAAGTTGCTTACTGAAAGGACACCCCAAAGAAAAGTATGGGAGGAATGTAGAAATAAATTATGCAGAACACTCTTTAATTGCAATTAACTACATTTCCATTTCTTCACTGTAATACAAAACACAGTCACTTGAAGAACTGGTTTAGATTATTTAAACACCAGGTGCATTTTAGTCCTCTACATAAGTGTTTGGAACTTACTTATTTTTATATGAAATGCAGCTATTAATGCTTTTCTATAGCAGTAACTGCACACCAGGAAGGCCAAGGCAAACATAAACCAAGGAATGGAATTTTCACAAAGCTACAGTGTGGAAAGACTATCAACAGTTGGTTCCATACACATAAATGAGTTTCTTTGCTGTAGGAAATCCAAATAGGATAAGGAATGGAGATGTGTAAAAAGGTTTCTGGGAGGAGAGAAGGATGGCACTTGGGAGCATTTTGTTTTCTGCTCCTTCTGCTGCATCACATTATTCTCCCACACTGTCTGATGTCCGTGTTAGGTTATCTCTAAACAACTGCATGATCAGTGCTGTCTCTGTAGGAGTATGCATTCAGTGCATCAAGTTCTGTGATGGTCTTTGCAAAAGCCTTTTTAGCCAGCATACAGTATCTCACAATATTAAGGCTCTATGATAAAATACAGAAAACTTAAGAGTCAGCTCCTGGTGAATTGGATATGTAGGGTGCGTCTTCTTGCTTATATCAAATGCCTTTTAGTAAGCTCCTTGAGAATTATTTTGTTTTCGATCATTACCACATTATACTTCAGCAAGGTGCTGGAAATAATCTCCTTTAATTTTCAGATAGAAGACCTTACTCTGAATTATTGTTGTTGTTGTTGTTATGTGCCATAGAGTTGATTCCAACCCATAGCGACCCTGTACAGGGTTTCTGAGGCTGGAAATCTTTATGGGAGCAGAAAGCCTCATCTTTCTCCCACGGAACAGCTGGTAGTTTTGAACTGCCGATGCAGTCCAATTCATAACCTCTACGCTACCAGAACTCTCTGAATTAGTTGCTATTAATTTCTTATCCAACAATTCCAGGACCGTGGAGCAGATGGATCTCAGTTCAGACTCCACTTTCTCCCGATAGTCCTTAGTCATCTACAAGTTTTTGTTGAAGGTGTTGGTTTTCTGCTCAGTGCTGGAGATGACTTTCCAGGCTGACCTCTGACCCCCATTCTTGTAGGCCAGTGAGAGCAGGTTGCGCTCCTCGTTGGACAACTTGGCCCCTTTCTCTGTCACGGCTTTCATGCAGGTGGCCATGTGGTGTAGCTCTCAGCCTGCTTGGCCATTTTAGCCTTCTGGATCAACTCGTCTTCACCATAGTGGATGGGCGGCGGTGCTCCAGGAAGGAAGGAGACAGGGAGAAGAGAGCAGGTGAGGCACCAAGGCTGGTAAGAACCAATCCATGGTACTTTTGATGTTCTTCTCAAAGACCATAGCTGTAGTGCACCATTCTTCTATGATCTTCCTTATTCACTGTCCAACTTTCACATGCATATGAAGCTATTGAACTTACCATGATATGTGCCAGGTGCACCTTAGTCCTCAAAGGGACATCTTTGCTCTTGAACACTTTAAAGAGATCTTGTTTAGCAGGTTTTCCTAATGCAGTACATTCCTTGATTTCTTGACTGCTGCTTCCATGAGTGTTGTTAGTGGATCCAAGCAAAAACAAAGTCTTTGACAACTTCAATCTTTTCCTCATTTATGATGATCTTATTTATTGATCCAGTGGTGAGACTTTTTGTTTTCTTTACACTGAAGTGCAACCCACACTAAAGACTGTGACCTTGGACCATCACAAACCCTCTTCACTTTCAGCTAGCAGGGTAGTATCATCTGCATATCACAGGTTGTTAATGGGTCTTCCTCCAATTCTGATTCTACGTTATTTGTCATAAAATCCAGTTTCTCGGATTATTTGCTCAGCATGCAGATTAAATAAGTATGGTGAAAGAATACGACTCTATCACACACCTTTCCTATTTTTAAACAATTCTGTGTCCCCTTATTTTGTTTGAACAGCAGCCTCTTGGTCTATGTATAGGTTTCTCATGAGCACAAATAAGTGTTTTTATTCCCTGAAATGTTGTCCATGGTTTGTCATGATCCACACAGTCAAAAGACTTTGCACAGTCAAAAAAGCATAGGTAAACATCTTTCTGGTATTCTCTGTTTTCAGCCGAGATCCATTTGACATCAGCAGTTTTATTCCTCATTTCATGACTCTGTCTAAATCCACCTTGAACCTCTGTCAATGTACTGTTGCAGCCATTTAAAAATAATTTTTAGCAAAATTTTACTTGCATATGACATTAATGATATTGTCCTATGATTTCTGAATTCCAGTAGTTGGATCACCTCTCTTGGGAATGGGCATAAATATATATCTCTTCCAATCAATTTTCCAGGTAGCTGTCTTCCAAATTTCTTGGCATAGATGAGTAAGTGCCTCCAGTACTGCTGTATCAGTTTACTGAAAGATTTCAATTTGTATTCTATCAGTTCCCACAGCGTTGTTCTTTGCCAGTACACTTTGGATTTTTTCCTTCAGTATACTGATATAATCAGTTTGATTTCTGAGTATTCCATCTGGTGAGGTCCAGAAGAATTTCTAAGTGGAGGGTGTATACTTATTAGTAATAATGAATACTTACTAAGCATGTGTACTCTGTTCTTATTTTCAATTTCCACTGATTTATGTGCTAGTAAATGTTACCCAAATTTTGTGGATGATGAAATTGTGATGTAGAGAGATTAAGTCACTTTCCCAAAGAGAAAATGCTTGTCATTTCTCAACCAGTTTCATCTGTATTGCTACATGCTGCTGAAGATTCATATGTGATAAAAATGGGATCAATATAGTATGGCAACATCTATGAGAATTCAATGTTAGGAGACTGCTGACCACCTTCCAGATAGCATTTTATTGTCAAAAACAGCATGTGCAGTTTGGTGCTCAATTTATGTTAAGGAAGAAAAAGCAGCAGTTTCTTGTCTAGAGAGGTAAGAAGATTATTGAGAAATAGCATGTATCTATTGCACAGTTTAAATAGGAGTGAGAAAGACCTGTTCTAGTCTGTAGCTGGAGAGGAAGGAGCCAAAAGAGAGTGATAAAATAAAGGTAAAAGAGTGATTTGAGTAATGTAAGCAAAGAATAGGAATCTGTTTGAAGAACTACAATGATACATTATCCTTGTACAGGAAGACCCTTGTTTTATTGGAAAATTACTGGGGACCACAGAGATGTGAGTGTGAGCCCAAAGCCACAGAGCCAATGAAACAGTAGCTTTGGGACCAGAGTCCAGTTTTTTGAATGCCAAGACTAACTCTTTCCATGAAGCCACCCAGCCACTCTTGCTGAATAATCATCTGCTGGTTACTTATCCTCAATCCAAAGGGAGTTATTGTAGTTAATGAATAAATTCCTTATGGTAAAATCCTCTGTAAATGCACACTTCTACAGACATGGGAAGGACATGTTGACCTTTGAGTTTCCTTACAACTCCCTTCCTCCTGTGAACTCCTTAGCAAGCTGTACTGGCTTCTCTTGACTATAAACAGCCTTCCAAATACTGCAGGTTCCTATATGGATGCCAAGTAGGGACGGAGGTCACCCTCAGGGAATTTCTAGCTGAATAAAATTCCACTAAGCCTTGAAATCAAAATGATTCTGGTAGGTAAATGGGGTACAGATGGGAAATCAACCCAGTGTGTGACTAGGCATGATTTAGAGCAACTGTTATTGATATGACAGATCCTAGCAGGCAACCTCAAGAGAGCTTGGATTTCAGTTGCAGTGCAAGTAGGTGGAATAAATAATTGCATTTTTGACTTTTGAATTTCCTGCACCTTGCCAGTGGTATTACAGCCATAATTTGTGCCATGTGTATTCCAGGGAGGTTTTTTATTTAAGAAGATATGTTTTGTTTTGTTTTGTTTTGTTTTGTTTTTGGTGGGGGAGTTGAGGTGGAGGGTGTCTGGGGATGAATTTTTTTTTTTACATTATATAAAATACTCTTTTTTTTTTTTTAACATTGGAGGAATGGCAATGGCTTATTTCAAATACTTCTATTATCTTGGGCAAACATTAAAGACCTTGATTAATATTTAACCAGAAGAAGTTTACTCAGTTCAAGAAAAGGATCAGTTTCAGGGTTCAGGCTGATGTGTCTTGCTGGTTAGAAGTAGGCTCCAAGGAGAAGTCCCCCCAGAACCAAGGGCAGCGGACACAACAGAAAGTGGGAGCCGAACCTGATCGCTAGAGAATGTGGACCGCCTATAAGATCTTGATCCTTTCATATCTTACCACAGAAATTTGGATGGAGAAGCAGTATTTATCTCAAAGACAAGTGAACCCAGGAGCTTATTTGACTAGGAACCACACCATTTTGGAAGGTACTCGATTCAAAAGAGCCATTTTCAAAGGGCAATACTGTAGCCTTTTTGGTTGTTGTAAAGACAGAGATGATGGTTGTGTCACTCAGTTCTATGAGGTTGATGCTCTGTGTTACTGTGATACATTCTGTGAACGGGAAAATTCTGATTGCTGCCCTGATTACAACTCCTTTTGTCGAGAAGAGGAAGAATGGTCTCCTCACACACAGTCTTGGTATCCAGAAGGTAGGCTTTGGGGATGTGTGTAAGCATTTGTTATAACAAGATTTGACAAATTTACTGTTTCTTGCTCTGTTTTTCTATTCTTTATCTCTCTTTTTCTTTTTAAGTGAAAGAACTTCTTTTGCAATTGCTAAAATAAGTTTTTTTTGGTTTACTGAAATGCTTTCGTTTAGATGCAGGCTTCCTGCATCATACTAGAACATTCAGAAATTCTCTGGCTGATAGTTGTAAGTGCTGGCTGGGAAATGCATTTGAACACTCATTCAGTACAAGGATTACTTCAAACCCTTTTTTGGTAAAATGCATTAGCATCAGGGTTCTGAAGCTGTTATGAGTGTAATCTTTGAGAGAAACTTATGAAAGTCACCGGCCTGAGCATTTGTCAATACATGAAACATTTTATTTATTAGTTCATGAAATTTATGGAGCCCCTAGGATTAGAATGCTACAGGATAATGAACTGGACCACAGTGGTTTTGAATGGCAGGATTGGCATTTCAAACTCACCAGCTATTCCTTGGAAACCCTATACAGGGTAGATATGAGTCAGAAGTGACTTGAGGCACTTAACAATAACAACATAGATTAGAAATTGTGATACAGCAGTGCACTAAAATCAGGGCAAACAGAAAAAACAAAAACAACAAAAGTAAATAAAGTCAGCAACCCATCCTACTTAAATAGTACCAAATAGTTTCATCATGTGTCTTTTTGCTTTGTTTTGTATTACTATGTCAATCTAGAACTCTTTAAACTATTAGATTAAAAGAAGGCACCATATAAAGCAATTGTAAAAGTGTAAAGATAAGGGGAGAAATACAAACAATCCATAAGGAGGATGGAGATTATCATTATCCATCTCTATTATAGAGAATGGCCATAAACATTGGTATAACCTCTGAAAAACAAAAACAAGCCAACAGCAACAACAAAAACTACAGCTACACTCTTGTGAGGCCCTCTGGCCTGGCAACAGAAGAACTCTTCTATAGCCTATCATGTCAAATCTCCTGGGAAGATATATAGGTTTAATCACCCCTCTTGTCACCCTGCTTTAAATAGCCAATGATGACTGGAAATTACATTTAGAACACAAGCATTTAAAAATAAACTAGGGAATCTGTATCTCTATATCAAAATCGGATCTTAGATGTGGCATGCATGTATATGTGTATAACATAATGGTTACAAATTGGGCTGCTAATCTCACGGACAGCAGTTTGAAACTGCCTCCAGTTCCATGGGAGAAAGATGTGGCTTTCAGCTCCTGTAAAGATTTACAGCCTCGGAAACCCTATACAGGGTCGCTATGAGTCGAAACCGACTCCACGGCACATAAACACCACCACCATGTTAGAAATTTCCACAGGACTGTATTTTATCCAAGACCCTTGTCTTTACCAATAAAAAGTTCAATGCACATTGATTTCATTCTACTAAGTGTTAGATGAGGAGCTTTAGTAACGTAGTGGTTACAAGTCGGGCTGCTAACCTCAAGGTCAGCAGTTCAAAACTACCAGCCATTCTGCAGGAGAACGATGAGACTTTCTGCACCTGTAAAGATATACAACTTTGGAAACCCTATACAGGGTCACTGTGAGTTGGAACCGACTCCATGCCACACCACCAGATGTTAGATACTGCACTAGTCATTGATTGACTGTCTCCACTGCATCAGGCACTTAGCTTGGTACTGGGCAAAAACAGGGTGAAAAATAGACAAGATCTCATGCAAGTCATATATTTAACAATTTCACTGTATAATTGCACATTGTGATGCATGTTCTAAAGAAAGAATTTAGGATGCTGTGAGAAAGTATTACAGAATGTAACAATAATATAATATATAAAATTAGTCTGGGTGAAGGCAATAGGTCAAAAAGGGAAGCTGAGACTTTCAGAGGAAGGAGGAGCTAGAGAGGAGTTGACACCAGAGTAATGCAGACCTGTGAGTTAGAAGCTTGGCATGGTTTTGAAACGGGAAGAAGGCCTCAGGTTCTGGAGAAGAATGATCAGGGAAAACCTGAGGGCAAGATGGTGCCATGAGATGAGGTTTGAGACATGGATAGAAGTGAGATTATGCCAAACAATGTTGCTGTGTTGTTAGGTGCCATCAAGTCAGTACTGACACATAGCGACCCTATGCACGAATGAAACATTGCTTGATTTTGGGCCAACCTCACAATTGTTGCTACATTTGAGCCCATTGATGCTGCCACTGTGCCAATCCATCTCGCTGGGGGTCTTCCTCTTTTTCTCTGACCCTCCACTTTACCAAACATGATATCCTTCTCCAGTGACTGGCCCCTATGACAATAAGTCTGAAACATGGAAGACGAATTCTGGTCATCCTGGCTTCCAAGGAGCACTCTGGCTCTACTTCTTCCAATTTAGATTTGTTGATTCTTTCGACAGTCCATGATACTTTCAATATTCTCCTGCAACACCATAACTCGAATGTTTCCATTCTTCTACAGTCTTTATTATTCATGGTCCAACTTTCATATGCATATGAGGTTATTGAAAATATCATGGCTTGGGTCAGGCAGCACCTTTGTCCTCAAACTGAC